ATTCAGGCAAGAAGGAATTCTTGCAGAGAGAAGGGCTTTCCTTTTCTTGCCCCGCCCTGTCTCCATCCATAAAAAGAAGGGCAACTCTAGGTTGACAAAGGTTTGGAGGTAGGCAGGTCATACTCCTCCTTTCTTCCCCCCCCAGGGAAAAATGGCCAGAGAAGGAAGAGAAGGTCCGAAGAGTCATCAAGCAGTACCTGAAATGCGATGTGACCCAACCCAACCCTTTGGCTCCGCTGGTTCTTCCTCCTGCAGATTGTCTGCTCTCCACCTTGTGCTTCGATGGGGCTTGCAGAGACATCCCCACCTACCGAACAGCCTTCAGGAACATCAGTTCCCTTCTGAAACCAGGGGGGCATCTTTTCTTTCATTCAACACTTGAGGGATATTATTACATGGTTGGCCAATGCAAGTTCTCTGCCCTGTACTTGGAGAAGGAGGTGATAGAAGAGGCAGTGAGACAGGCTGGCTTTGTCATTAAATGGATTGAGGAGACCAGGATCCACCTCCCTCCTTCTGTAGCAGATGGGAAGGGGCTGTGCATTCTTCTTGCCCAGAAATGCAGCCCATGAATATTAGGCAACTGTTGATGTAACACCCAGAGATTTCCCCAACAATTGTTATGAAACTGTGGCTTCTGTGATCTTTTCCATGCCTTTCCTAGTAGGTACTGTGTGTAATAAAGTAACATCTTGCCTCTGTGTTTGTGTGTTGGTTTGTGCTTCCCTTGTGTTGTGTCTCTCTGTTTCCTGTGTATGTGGATTCTCTGTGCATGTGTTGCCCTGTTCTGCCTTCGGCCCTACCCATTCTGAGATGGCACTCCCTTCTTCCTGGCTACCTCCCACTTGGCGACTCTTTCTGTGCCTCCAGCCACTGCTCTCCTACAAGTCAGAGCCCCTCATCCCCCTCTCTCTGCTGCCTCCATGAGTGGCAATGCTGAGCCAGTTCAAAGCAGAGGAAGATCACCCATGGGGCTACCACTAACCACTGGGAGGTGGGGGGGCAGCCTCCTTCAGCCCTCTTGGTCTTCCTTCCTTCCTATCTGCTTACAGTCTCACCTGTAAATGTCCTTCCACACATATTTGGATCATGCAGAGTTGGGTAAAAGATTCTTGCACTCTGGTTCTTTGCCCAGCAGGGACTCCGCCAGAATTTGTCTTCATGTGGGATCTTTCCAGGACATGGGAGGCTGATTTGCAAAACAGCTGCATGCCAGAGTGGTTTAAGCTGGTGAACCCATCCACTCTTCCACCTTGATAGGTCCCTCTAGGCGTGGCTCAGGCTGCCCACGGACACCCTTGTACTAGGCAGCTGCCCCACTTTTTAAAAATGCTGCAATCTGCAGAAGGTGAAATTGTGGGACAGGTCAGGGCAAGAAAGCACTGCTGGCAAAGAGGCAGAACAAGGCTACCTTTCTGTACCCATGCGCAGAAGTGGTGGCTGGTTGGCAAGCAGTTTGGAGCCATTGGAGAAAAATGATGGGTTGGTGCAGAGCTGATCTGTCCAGGCATATCTGAGCAGCTCTGCACTTTTGTCCTCAAGTGGATTTGCTTCTGCGTCTTGGTAGAATTCCTGAATGAACTTAGCAGGGTATCTGTAGAGGTTCTGAGGACATGTCCAATGGTCACTTGCATGCCTTCAGAGCCTGAAATAGTCTCCTGTAAAATTGTGTCTTGAGCATTGGGCAGGGTAGCATCATGCCCAGTATTTGAAGGATCCAGGTTGGAAAGAAGAGGTCTAAAGCTCTTTTGAGGATCAATGGGAGATATGAATCTGGAGGAGGTTGTCCTCCATGCATTTGCTAGAAGCTCTTTGGGGTCATTCTGTTTTCCAGATGCAACTTTAGAGACTCTGAGTGAATATGAGGAACACAAGAGAGAGATGACCAATACCTTCAAGTTTGTGCCCTGCCATTGTTCTTCTCGCAGGAAGAAGGTGTTGAGTGGACTTGTGACAGAGGAAGAAGAGCACTACTATCACAAGATCCTTTTTTTTTTTTTTGGCTGGATTTCCCTTATCTGCAGGACAAGAGATGGTTCAGTGGCTCTGGAATCCAAAATGTTTCAGAGAACACAGTACATTCTTCAGATTTTTCAGGGAAAAAGTCCACCCAGAATTTGTCCTGCCTGATCTGCTTAGAGTGTTGGCTTTGAAGAACAGTTCCCACAGCCCGAGGATTGTGGCAACCCAGGACACAAACTATTTTGGTTTTAGAGTTCATCCTCAAGGATCAGATAATATCAGATTTTAAGTTCTAATTGTGGAGGTAAAATTCTGGTAGTTGAAGTCCACTCCTCTTAAGGTTGCCAAGGTTGAGAAACATTGCCCTACCTGTTCTGGGCTCAGCTCTAGGAGAGTGATAACCCAAGAGCTGAAATAGATGCTATAATTAGCAACCCTTTAGAGCCAATAAGCAGGAAGTAAGGGATAGGTAGATTAGGGCAAACACTAGGAAGGAAGCTGGACATTTAAGAAACAGAGTTAGAATTCAGAAAGAAAAGGGAAGAGAGGTTGTCCCAAAGAAAAGTTGGACTCTGGAGCAGAACTGAAGCCCAGATGAAAAGGGAGAAATTATTGACAGCGAGAACAATTAATCAACGGAATAGCTTGCCTTCTTGGGTTGTGGGTGCTCCACCACTGGAGGTTTTCAAAAATAAACTGGTGAACCATCTGACTGGGATCGTATAGGACTCCTGCCTTGAGCAGGAGTTTGGACTAGAAGACATATGAGGTCCCTTCCAGCTCTATGATACCATGATTCTGCACCAGAAGTAGGGCAGCAAGAAAGGGGAGCTGGAGTCCAGTGGTGGGATTCAGCCAGTTTGCACCAGTTCGGTAGAACTGGTAGCTAATTTTTTGTTGCCCAGGCCCAGAATGGACTTCCGAAAGTGGCATTCACACAGAGAACCGGTTGTTCACATATTTGAATCCCACCACTAGTGGAGTCTAATGGTTTGGATATCTGGCCCTGAAGGCACTCTTCTCTGCCATGTCCCTCCTGTTTTTCTGGTTCTCCTGCAAGAGGATCCAGCCCCTCCTTTCCCCTTTCCTTTCTTTGCCCCAAGGGGAAGGGGTTCTTCAGCTGTCTCTTTTTCAAGACAGAATATCTGATTGTGTAAAATGGAGAGATCAAGCCCTTGCTTCAAATCTGTTAGCAGGAAATAGGCAAAATAATCATTCTGCATGATCTGTTGAGGAATGTATCTGTAAGGGAAATCAGGAGGTGGAGCCAGCAAAGACCAAATTATAATAATCATCCGAGCACGAAAGGAACAACCAGAAATTGGTAAAAGTGTTTCTGGGATGATGGAAGAGTCTTACAAAGGGAAAGATTTTTACACAAAGCATTTTGATCCCAGAGCCCATCTGGAAAACTACTACAACGTTAAGTTGGAGGATGGTGGACTGGGTCAGTTTGTAACCTTTTTCCTGAAAGGGGCCCACAGGGCATTCACCATAGGTAA